CCTTCTAGCCCATCATGGCCTGTTTCGGGTTGCCATTATAAAACTCACTCTTGCCCACATCCCTTGCTCCACTGCTTGTGAAGCACTGTATCTCCCCCCTTACTCGTCTATCGATAGACGTTCCCCCCTTCAAATAAAGAGCATTAACCGCATCACTATATCATTTTGGCATATGACAGGAGGTAAGAATGGGAACGGCTGCCTCTACGTTAAGAGATGGGGTAAATGTCAAGCAGACCCTCCCATCAAGATGGCAGTGTAGCAGACATGGCTCACCTCTTCACACGACCACATTGAAATTACAGCTAACATACAGAACCATCATCAGATCCATCAGATATCAAGTTGAATGGAAGTCTGACAACTATAGAATTAAAGAAACCCCATCCATCCGGACTGGTAGGTGGGGTAGAGACACAAAATGGGCTGGTCCCACACCCATGCATGGTGGATCAAAATTCGGGAGGGATATCTTGGGAGCAAGGAGTCCCAGTCCCACACCAGGCCTCCCCAGCCCAGGGTTCCAGTGCCAGGAAGATAAGTCACCACCACTTCTGGCTGCAAAAACCACTGGGAATTGAGTCAGTGGAAGAAACTTCTGGACCCTCAAGCAGTTTCTCTTAAAGCAGCCACACATGGACTCACCTACTCAGACTCACTCCCTCTGAGCTCCAGCACCAGGGTAGCAGCTTGAAAGGCACCAGTGACATAAAGGGAGGAACTAAAGTATCTGGCACCAAGGCAAGAGCTAGGGAATAGCTTCTTCCCAGACAGAAGCACAGGCAAAGGCCATGGTCCCTTTCTTAAACCCGCCCCCACAGAGAGCCACTGAGATGGCAAGCAGGTGCCATATCTGAGACTCCATCAACCTGGCTAACACTGACTCACCAGGGAGATCTACAGAGACTACAACCCACACAACTTATGGGCCCACACCAGCTGCTTTTCCATATGAATAGCTGGTCCTGGCTCTTGAAGCACAAATTCCTAAATCCTCTCAAACAAGCAACAGTTGGTCTCAGTGAAACCCCATGCCTGGCACTAGCAGCAGCCACCCTAAATTCATATTTTGGCTTCACTTGGGAATCTCCAATCCCAGCACAAGTAGCAGCCATCTCAGATTGCTTTATAGCTCAGGCAGGGTAGTCCCGGGAAAAACACAGGTGGGGGCTGACCTTGGCCTGCACCACCCTGCTGAAAACCCCAGGGCACGCCCAGTAGACAGCTATAGACCACATGTGAACCCCACCACCCTGCCCCTGCACAGCTGATCCTCCACGGAGGGCGGAAGTTGGTGGTCAGTGATCACAGCCAGTCCTTGTAGCTGACTGGCCTGGGTGAATCCTTCCCATTGATCTGCTAATAGGAACCAAGGCTCAACTATAAGAGGAAGGTGTACTCAGCCCACCCAAAGGGCACACTTCGAGTACCCAGCTTGGGTGATAAGGAAAGCTGTGGTACTGGACCCGATAGGACACTTACTACATTAGGCAGGGCACACTACCAAGATACAGAGTCAAAGAAGCTCTACCTAATACACAGAAACAAACACAGGGAGGCGGCCAAAATGAGGAGATAAAGAAACATGGCTCAAACGGAAGAATAGAGCAAGACTCCAGAAAAAGAGCTAAACAAAATGGAGATAAGGAACCTATCAGATGCAGAGTACAAAGCACTGGTTATAAGGATGCTCAAGGAATACAGTGAGGACCCCAGCAGGATAAAAAAAGATCTGGTCAGAAACAGAGGATACACTAATTGAAATAAAGAACAATTTACAGGGAAACAACAGTAAAGTGGGTGAGGCCCAAAATCAAATCAATGATTTGCATATAAAGAAGCAAAACCAGACAATCAGAACAACAAGAAGAAAAAAGAGTCCAAATAATGAGGCGAGTATAAGGAGCCTCTGGGACAACTTCAAGTTCTCCAACATTCACATCATAGGGGTGCCAGAAGGAGAAGAGAAAGAACAAAATATTGGAAATCTATTTGATAAAATAATGAAAGAAAAGTTTCCTCATTTGGTGAAAGAAATAGATAGGCAAGTCCAGGAAGCACAGAGAGTCCCAAACAAAATGGTTGCAGAGAGGCCCATGCCAAGACACATCATAATTGATGGGCTAAAGGTTAAAGATAAAGAGAAAATTTTAAAAGCTGGAAGAGAAAAGCCGTTAGCTACCTATAAGAGAGTTCCCATAAGACTGTCAGCTAATTTCCCAAAAGAAACTTTGCAGGCTAGAAAGAATGGGCAAGAAATATTGAAAGTCATGAGAAGCAGGGACCTACAGCCAAGATTGCTCTGTTCAGCAAAGCTATCATTTAGAATTGAAGGGTAGATAAAAAGCTACTCAGATAAGAAAACACTAAAGGAGTTCATCATCACCAAACCATTATTATATAAAATGTTAAAGGGATAATTTAAGAAAAAGAAAGATCAAAACTATGAACAATAAAATGGCAATAAATACATATCTATCAACAATTGAATCTAAAAAAAAACAAACTAAGCAAACAAGACCAGAGACAAAATCATAGATATGGAGAGTGTTTTGATGGTGGCCAGATGGGAGGGAGTGTAGAGAAATGGGTGAGGAGGTGAGGGGATTAAGAAGTACAAATAGATAGTTACAGAATAATCGTGGGGGATGTAAAGTACAGAATAGAAAATGGAGTAGCCAAAGAACCTATACCCACGACCCATGGACATGAACAATGGTGTGGGGATTGCCTGAGGGAGTTGGGGGTGCTGGGTGGAGGAGGGCAAAGGGGAAATCAGGGGAACTGTAATAGCACAATCAATAAAATATAAAAAAGGAAAAAAATTCAAGATCAACAAGAAAATGTCAGGTATTGCTAATGCTATACAGTAAACAGAGTGATGTACTGAGAGAGACAAGGGGATGATTTTAGGTTGGGGCATCAGGAAAGGCTTCTCTGAAGAAACCACATTTAAGTTGTGGTCAGAGAGCAACTGTAACACTGACCATAAGCAACAGGCTGCTGCTAAATATAGGATTCTGCTCTTTGATAAATGTCCAACACAAGTAGTTGTCTCTAAAATATGTACCCCTTATTGAAAATAAATCACGCAATGCTTAATATTAAAGATATAAAGTCAGAACAATTTGAGTTGCTCTAGAACACCTCTGTATACAATATTTCAAATAGTTACATTTACTTACACTATAAATATTCAAACTAGGTTTTCAAGAGGAAAAAGACCTCTTAGCCTGGTTATCACCACATATTTTATATCATGCATGTATAGAAGATTTTTACATAGAGTTTTACCACATTAGTAAAAATGACCACCTGACCTCAGAAAAGGTCAAATCATTGATTTGTAGAAAGGATGAACATTTCTATTAGATGTTACTTCATCTCACCACCTACTATGCTCAAAAGCCCAGGCCCCATTTAAAATTCTGTGCTGGTGAAAGGAGGACTCCACTTGAAGTCAACCGTGTTCATGCTTCCACTGTCAAGCCTACTGATGTTCTGAATATTTGTATTATTGTTACTTTTTAATCAACATAAATTCTTATAGAAAACTAAAAATTATACTTTTCACCATTCCTGATTCTAGGAAGAATGATAAAATCTGTTAACAGCAGAAGAAACAAGGCCATACCACGGTTAAAAAGAAATGGCAAGCCCTAAATGGAGTCCCTTGTGCTAAGCAAAGCAAGATGTAACACCTAGACTACCTGCTGTTATACTTTGCCCAGGAACGCAACAGCCACCGGTCAGGGTGACATTTTTTGGGTTATCATCTATAAAGTAATCTACCACATAGGCCTTTCCCTTTCTCAAAGGAATACAGATAACAGAACACCCACACCTACAGGAGAACTTTACAAAGAATTTATTTGAGTCAAATTTTGAGGATATGCCTAGAAGCAAGATCTCAACATATGGAGAATATGGCTCAGAGAATTACAGCTCTGCAGGCTCTTTCACAGATTTAAAATAAAAGAAGAAAATGTTAAGGAAGGTCCACAAGGTCCACTGATGGTACATTTGTGTCAGGGGAAAGCAAAGCACGGAAATCTCTGGGACTGGAGAAAAAGCAAAATGGAGAAACACATACTACTTCTACATTTATGGTACAGGACAGATAATAACTAACATTTATAGCACACAGAGATGGTATTTGGGGGAACAGGACAACCATGAGAGGTTCTGTGGTCTTGGACTCTGGTGGGAGGTTATGCCCTGAGGAGTCAATAAAAGGAAATCACTTTGACATATGTAAGGTATGTTACCTTCGATTCATAAGAACAATGCAAAGGGCTCTCTTAGCAAAGGTAAAGATTGAGCTTTGTAAGAAAGTAATAGGCCTGGGCAGTTAACTACCTGCTATGACCTCACCAGCTGGGAATTCATGATCAGAGCACCCTGCACGGTTGCTTTTGGTTACTCAGGCCTGCCTGCCATGTGACCTCCGGAGCCTGCCAGGTTTATTACACAGGCCTTCCTTCTGCTCACAGGACGATGAAGTAATCTGCCACATAGACTCCTTCCACCGCCACAGGCATGTTACCTCCACCTGAAATAAACTTCCTTGTCTTGCCTTTAAACACCTTCCCCTTTCTGTACCCTTTGGCGCTCCTCTCTACTTGCTAGGTGAGAGGCTGTCTGATTCATGAATTACACAATAAAGCCAATCAAATCTTCAAATTTACTCTGAATTTTTTTGATCACTGAGCAGGGACAAAAACTCGAAGGGAAAACAGGCTGCACTTTATTAACAATATACGTTGTGACAAGGTTTTCAGAAATCCACTGTGGCAAAGAGCTGAGGAAAATTTGCACCTTTATTTTGGTGGAATAAAAACAGAAACAGTAATAGGAAATTGGGATTCCATTGCTTCGGCTCAGTTTTTTTCTGCTCATCAAAAAGAGGCATCATAGGAAATGTCACTCCTGCTTAAAATACTCTATCAAGCCACTCAAGTAAAACTGCAAATCAAGGAAATTTTGAAAAGGACTTTGAGTTTCTGTGAAAACATTCTTTATTGGTAAGCAGACACTTGAAAAGTTTGTGATTACATATGTCATGCAAACAACCGATTTCACGCACAGTCGCCTCACTGCTGTGACAAACTCTTTTCTGAGAGGATTACAGATTTTCAGTTACCATGACTGCAGAAGTAAAAAGAAACCAGGAAAATGACTCTGAATGATGCAAAATACTATGTAGTTCATGTAAGCTTCGTTCATCCCTTCTGTTTAATTCTCTCTCCTAATGTAAATCTCTGCATTTTGGAAGACTGCTGTGTACAAAAATGGCAGTTGTTCTGTATGCGCGCATAATTGATAAAAGTCAACTATAAGAATAAAATTTCAAGTAATTTTACAGGGTTTGGCTATTCTCCCCCACCCTCATTTTGTTAATTCAAAGCAGAACAACGCCCTTTTAGGTAAAATGCTCATTTGTTCCAATAGCACATTTCCTTAAGGAAGATGATTTTGCTCCTGAGAAAATGCAGTGTATCCCTTGTCAACTTTCTGAACTGAGACTCATTCTTTAAACTATTATTTATATATTTTCCAAGTTGTTTGCAATGAGTGGGAAGAAACAGGGTGTACTATCCTGAGGAGACTTAGGAATAATCTTACTCTCTAATACGACACTCCGAGAAAGTTGTCTTTGTGGTGGTGTGGTCAACACTTCCACAGGCGGAAATTCTGGTAGCACTCCCGGTATTCAAACCCGAGACACAGGTAAAGCCACTGCCTTAAAACCAGGGCCCCCTGAGAAAGGTGAAGAATTCGAAATCTCTTGTTGGCACATTCATGGCAACTGGCAGCAAGCAGGCGAAAAAGTTTTCTAGATACCTGGAAGTGGGGCGCTGCCGCAACAATGCCCTGAAATGACAGAAGTGGCTTTGGAACTGCTGAGTAGGTGCTGGAAGACATTCTAAGAGCCCGACACAGAAAAGCCAAGACTGCCTTTAACACGGTCGGTCAGGGCTCGGTGACGCCTGGGAGGGCTCAGAGGGAAGTGAGGAGCATGCTGTTGGAAACTACAGGAAAAGAGATGACAGTTACTGGCCAAAAGCTTAGCTGGTGCCCTGCAGTTCTGTGAAAAGCAGAAATTTTAAGTAGTGAACTTAGTTTGGTTAGCTAAAGAGATTTCTAAGCAAAGTGCAGAAGGTGAGGCTGGCTTCCTTCTTGCAGATGAAAGTAAAATGTGAGGGGAGATAAACTGAGGGAACAACTGTTAAATACAAATAGGACTTGATGACTTGAAAATTCTTGGCCTACCCAAACGGCAAAAGACATTAAGATTACGAGATTCTGGAAAGCCTGCTCTGGGGAAAGGGGCAAGAGGGCGGCTGCACAACTTTTGCTAATACCTCGGTCAGATGCAAAGGCCTGAGTGTTCGGTCACACAAGAGGCTCTTTGAAGAGATCTGGAGTGTGACTTATAGACCCTCAGCCATCTCAGAACAAAATCAGAGATGGAGTTACTTATTTAGAAAAATTCAGGTGGAGGAGCCTTTAGTCTATAGTGAATCCTGTAACACACAGAAGATCCAGCAGACAGCACCCGCTTCAACTAAAAGGTGCAGAGTGTATATGAAATGGCAGGTAATCGGACCTCCCAGATTTCCAGACAGGAAACAAGTTGATGAAACTATTTGGCTGCAAACACACGCTACCTTTCATGAAAAAGGTGAGGACGCAGAGGAAGCCTTGAGCCCAGAGGACGGTGCTGTCCGTCACAGAACACCAGTCCCAGGCTGACTCGACAGAGTGCACCTAACTAAATTTCTAAGTTCCTTGGCACTGGTGCATCCTTTTTCCATTCGTTTTCTGATTTTTTGAATGGGAATATCTGTAACTGTCATTCTATGCCTGTCCTGTCTTCATATTTTGGAAAAAAATCACTGGTTCTAGGGTCTCAGGTGGAGGGGAACTGTGTTTCAGGAATCATACACAGGTCCCCACTCATACCTGACTTAAATGCTTTAAATGAGATTTGGGATTTTTCAGTGAGATTCAGATAAGATGCTGCACTTGAAGCTGATGCTGTAATGGTCTGAGATTTCTGAGCACCTCTGTCTGGGATGACTTTTTGGGGTGGATGTGAAGTTTTGAGGCAGGAGTAAACTGGTGAACAGAGAGTACCCCCCAGCCCCGGCCTCTAAAATACTCATAGTCCAATCTTCAAATCTGCGAGTTGTGCAGATGTCGTATTAAACATTTTGAAATGAGATTATCCTGGATTATCTATGTAAACTAAATGTAATCACAAAGATCCTTAAAAGAGAAAAGCGGAACTAAAGTTGGTAGTAACAGGGGTAAGAACAGAAGCAGACTGGAGGGACAGGGACGCGAAGATCGGCGAGGGGATGCCAGCAGCCTCTACAAGCTGGAAGAGGCAAAGCACAGACTCACTCCGGGAGCCTCCAGAGGAACCTGTGATACGGTACTTTGCACGGTAAAAGAGAATTTAAAGATGTGGTTAAGGTTCCTACAGACTTTATGATGGGAAAATAATCCTGGAGACCTAGTGGACCCAATCTAATCACGAGTCCTTGAAAGCAGAGAACCTTTCCTGGCTATTGTCACAGAAATAAAATGACAGAGAAAAGTCAGAAAGATACAATGTTGCTGGCTTTAAAGACGGGGACGGAGGGCCACAGGCCAAGGAATGCAAGTGGCCTCTAGAAGCTGAAAAGGCCAGGAAATGCATCCTCCGGAGTCTCCAGAAAGCAAGGCAGTCCTGTCAGCACCTTCATACCAGCCCAGCGAGGCTAGGTTAACCTGAAGAACTGGGAGGTAATGAGCCTGTGCTGTTATGGGCCACCAAGTTCGTAGTCACCCGTTATCAGCAGCAACAGAATACTAATCAGGAGTGGTGACCAAGATGAAGTGGTCTCTGGGAAGAAAAAAAGCTTTTCTATCATTCCTGACATAGCCCGCCTCATCCAGGAAATACCTGGCTTCAGCAGAAGTGCGAACACTCCTGCTGGCCATTCTTTAGATCCAGGCAGCCCGACAGAATTGACATTCCTTTATTCCTACACTTGTTTTGTTCTGGAGTAGAATACATTCTGGTGTTGACACTTCGAATAGTGTTTAATATCTACAGTGGGTCCCCTAAACAGGGGACTCCAACCGTTTTGGCACCAGGCACTGGGTCTGTGGAAGATGGGGTGGGGGGTGGGGGTTGGGGGTGGGCTGGGACAGGTGGTGAAGGGTAACACGAACAAGGCTTCACTCCTTTGCCTGTGGCTCGCCTCCCGCTGTGGGGCCCAGTTCCTAGCAGACCATGGTCTGGGCCAGGTATGCGGCCTGGCGGGGTGGGGACCCCTTTCCCAGAAAGGTGTTGAACAAATAAATGCATGTGATCAGGCAGGCTCTGAGAGGGACTGTCATTTCTCTGTGTTAGAGTGCTGTTGACCACATCTCAAGACTGCTGACTGTTATGTCTGTTTCTAGGTTGGGATGTTCATAGTTCTGTAAAATACAAGGCCAAACTCTGTTTTCTTGATACAGTAATATAGCTAAATCAGCAAAAAGACGTATAATATCTTAATAGGAGAAATAATCATCATATGATCAGAGCATTTCAAAAATCAGAATACAGATACTCTTTAGTATATGTTACAAAAATTTTTTTCAAAATATTTGATCAGAAGATTCCTTAATGGCTCTTGATCAATGCAGCATGAAGAAATTTCAGTGTAAATTTCACCAAGTTTATCAAAATGGAGTTTTGTTCATTTTCACTGCCAACATATGTTGTTACATTAACACTGAGCATGTCACAAATTGGTTTGACTGGATATTTAAAACCTATGAATATAAGCTGGCCCTACAACTAAAAATTCAACACATTTATCTTGAGATCCATTCCCAGTCCAAATTCATTTATGCTAAGGTTGGAGGATAGAATAAGAGTAAAACCAAAAAGTATCTGTATAAATAATAAAAACAATTTGGCATTTTTAAAAGAAAGTTTTCCTTATTAAATATGGCACATTATCCCTGTCCTATGTGACCGCATGAACAGGAGAAGCAGCATCATTTTAGTTGCTGGAGTAGCACAGTGTTAAGAATATCTGCTTCTTGTAGTGTCAGGCTTTCATCTGTTAGCTCTTTGTTTGGAAATGAAGTCACGAGAATAAAGTCAAGAGCTGCGAATTCAGGGCGGGACTGTACAATGAAATCCCGAACATCCAGGATCCTGAAAAACAAGATACAGATAATTTGTGATACAGAAGTTGTATCGCCATGGAAGCTTTTAGCTAAAATTAGATAATAAAAATTACACAATTCTAATCCTTTTTAAAATGTGTTGTAACTTTAATTTATACTATTTCCATGGATGGACTTAGCTTTAAGACAAAATATGAGGAATAACTTTGGAGTGCATGTAGTATCTACTTTTACCGTAAAACAGAGACAATCTTCATGTGAGTTATGCACAAAATATCAACCATCTTTTTTTAAAGACTTTATTTATTTATTTTTAGAGAAGGGAAGGTGGGGAGAGAGGGAAACATCAATGTGTGGTTGCCTCTCCAGCGCCCCCTACTGGAGACCTGGCTTGTAACCCAGGCACGTGCCCTGACTGGGAAACAAACCAGTGACCCTTTGGTTTGCAGGTGGCACTCAATCCACTGAGCCACACCAGTCAGGGCTCAACCATGTTATTACCATGAAAGTGCAGGTCCTAGTTTTTACAGAGCATAAAATATTTTAGCAGCATATGACCCAGAAAAAGCTACCTCGAATTGGCCTGTGTCAGAGTAAGTCTGAAACTATAAAAAGTGTAAGTCATAAGAATAATTTTCAAAAATTATTTTGACATAGGGCTGCCAGTCAAGATGGTGGCATAGGTAAATGCAATACTCAACTCCACTCACAACTACTTCAAAATTACAACTAAACTAGAGAATAACCATCATTCAGAACTCCCTGAAATCTAGCTAACAGAAGTTCTACAACTAAGAATATAAAGAAGCCACACTGAGACTGGTAGGAGGGGCAGAGATGCAGAGTTGGCTGGTCCCATAGCCATGTGTGGCAGATAAAAATTGGGAGAAACATCTAAGCTGCAGAAGACCCCCCTGAGAATAATGGGTCCCAGCCCCACACAAGGCCCTGCAGGCCAGGGTTCCAGTGCCAGGAAGAGAAGTCCCCATAACTTCTGGCTGTGAAAACCAGAGAGGATTGTGGTGGCTCAGTGAGACGGAGGGTTGTGCAGTCCCTGGCATTCCTTCTAAAGGGCCCATGCATGGACTTACTTAGACTCACTCACTTGAGCTCCAGCACTGGGGCAACAGCTTGAAAGGCACCAGGGACACACAGGAAGGAACTGAATGTCTAGCATCTGAGGGTGAGGTAGGAGGGGCAGCTTTTGCCCAGACGGAAATGCTGACAGAGATAACTGTTCCTTTCCTGAGCCCTCCTACACAGAGCCGGCAGGTGGGCACCACATCTCAGTCTCCATCAACCTGGCTAACAACGTTCCACCTGCCATGGTGACTCCCTGAGACCCTGCTCCACCCAACTTGTGGGCCCACCAAGCTGTTTCCAGTGCCTTTTCCATACAAATGGCCTATCCTGGTTTATGATTCTGATGTTCCTAAAATCTCTAAAACAAGCAGCATCTGGTCTTGGAGTGCCCCCTACCTCTCACTAAGTGGCCCTAGGCCCAGCATGAATGGCGGCCTGCCTTGGTTCACAGCATGGCCTTTCCTTGGTACCACCAAGCCCAGCACAAGCAGCAGACAACTGCAGATCACTTTGTGGCTCATGCTGCGTGTCCCAGGTAGAACACAGGTGGTGGCGGACCTCTGCCTGCATCCCCTTGGAGGAACCAGAGCCAGCACACCCAGTGGACAGCTTCAGACCACATTAAAGCACTACCCAACCACCTCCACAAGTGATACACTTAAAAGAGGCAGACTCAGCAGGCACCAGAGGCCTGCTGAAGTAAGTCCCACTCTGTGGGATGTTCCCATGCACAGCTGATCCTGCACGGTAGTAGCTGCAGCCAGTCCTTGCAGCTGATTGGCCTGGGGGTAAATCCCACCCACTGACGTGCCAATGGCAATCAAGGCTCAATGACTAGAGGAGTAGGGTGTACACAGCCCACACAGGGGGTAGGGTGCACCTCAAGTACCCAACTTGGGTGATGGGGAGACTGTGCCACTGGACTCTATAGGACATCTACTATATAAAACACCTACTATATAAGGCCACTCTGCCAAGACTGGGACATGTAGAAGTTCTACCTAATACAAAGAAACAAACACAGAGAGGTTGCCAAAATGACAAGACAAAGAAACATGTCCCAACTGAAAGAATAGATCAGAACTCCGGGAAAAACTAAACAAAATGGATACAAGCAACCTACTAGATACAGAGTTCAAAACACTGGTTATAAGGATGCTCAATGAACTTACAGGAAAAGTAGATGAACTTAGAGAGAACTTCATCAGCATATAAAAAAACATGGAAACCATAAAAAGAACCAGTCAGAAACGAAGGACACACTAACTGAAATAAATAATAACTTAGAGGGAATCAACAGTAGAATGGATGAAGTTGAAAATCAAATCAGTGATTTGGAATAAAAGGAAGCAAAAAACACTCAATCAGAACAGGAGAAAAAAAGAATCCAAAAACATGAGGATTGTGTAAGGAGCCTCTGGGACAACTTCAAGCATACCAACAGCTGCATTACAGGGGTACTAGAAGGAGGAAAGAGAGTAAGAACTTGAAAACTTATTTTAAAAAAATGACAGAAAACTACTGTAACCTGGTGAAGGAAATAGACATACAAGTCCAAGAAATAGTGTCCCAAACAAGAAGAACTAAGAGAGGACCACACCAAGACACATCATAATTAAGAAGCCAAAGGGTAAAGACAAAGAAAGAATCTTAAAAGCAGCAAGAGAAAAGCAGTCAGTTACCTACAGGGGAGCTCCCAAAAGTTTCTCAACAGGAACTCTGCAGGCCAGAAGGGACTGGCAAAAAATATTCAAGTGATGAAAAGCAAAAAATGCAACAAAGATTACCCAGAAAAGCTATTATTTAGAAATGAAGGACATATAAAGAGCTTCCCAGACAACAAAAAGCTAAGAGTTTATCACTACCAAACTAGTATTACATGAAATGTTAAAGGGTCTTCTTTAAGAAGAAGAAGAAGAAGAAATAAGAGGAAGAAGAGGAGAAGATGAAATATGAACAATAAAATGGCAATCTATCAACTAAATCTAAGAAACAAACAAACAGAGCAGAAACACAGTCAGATAAAGAGAACATCTTTACATCTGCCACAGGCGGGCGATGGCAGGGATGCATGAAAAAGGTGGAAGAATTAATAAGTATAAATTGGTAGTTACAGAATAGTCATGGGGATCTAAAATACTGCATAGGGAATATAGTCAATAATATGCTAATAAATATGCATGGTGTCAGCTGGGTACGAGATTTATCAAGATGCGCACTTATTAAGTTATATAATGTCTTATCTCTGGGTTATACACCTGAAGCTAATACAATATCAACTGCAACTGAAAAATAAAATTGACTTAAAGTAAAAAAGATTACTTTCACATATAGATAGTAACTTGATTAAGAGCATGAATGTATTCCTCAGAAGGATGCAATGAACAAAAATATTAACACAAATGCTGATGTCCAAGTGAATGTTAAAATAGCATTTATAATGGTTTAAATGAAATACTTTACAATACCACAATGAAACTTTACACTACAGATTTATATTATGAAAAATTTGCTATGTAAAAGTTAATCCTGATCAGAATTACCATAAATTTTTATATGAGTGAAGTCCAAGTAAGGTTTTACTATATTAAATTAAATCTGATTCCACTTCACATAGTTTCGGCAACAGTACAAAACTGCAGCTTTTAACTTTTTTCTTTATTTCTTTTGAGTGATACCTGGATTTGCATGAATATTTGGACAGTTTACAAAATATATTTAATTACTAAGTATTTCACTTCTTACACATAGCTATCACCCTTTTAAAGTTTTTCTTTTGTTAAAAACTTACTGCAAATCTAAAGAATTTAATATTCTGCATTATGCAAGCCACATACAATTTACATAAATACCCATGTGCATGTCAGCGAACTTGAAGCTTACCTGTGTGTACTATTGAATCTTTGTATCAAACGACTCCCATCTACCAGCCTGATTTGAATCTTTGTTGTTGGCACTGAATCATCGATAAGAACAACTGCATTAAGTATTGACTTATCCTCCTCTTCTGGTGAGGAAGGCGTACTGACGATTTCAGGTGTAAGGCTATGAAAGAAGAATGCAAGACTTAGAACACAAATCCAAACACATAAGACCTAAGACAAACAGAAGAAGTGGAATAACCACTGAGTCCTACACCTGACTCTCGAGCTATCCTCCTCCTCCACGGCTCCTGGACTAGCAAGAACATGGCCTCCTCTGTGTCTCCTATACTTCTTCCAACTTCTTTCATTATATCATACACTACTTTGGATACTACGATTTTGATTTAGTTTTCTAATCTCTTTCAAAACCCTGTCTGTATATCCATTCCTCCTTTTATCCCTTTGAAATTTCATGAAACTGTTTAGCACCAACCTTTGGTCAGAAATCTGAGCAACTTTGAGTTAACATCAAACAATGGTTAAGAGCACAGACAGACATTACGTAAACTTAAATTAATCTCTTTGAATCGCAGTTCTATCATTCATAAAATGGGGAAATGTTATGGTATGGAGGTATGTTACACAGGCCTACCTCGAAGATAACGAGACTTGGTTCCAGAGCACCACAATGAAGTGACTATCACAATAAAGCAAGTGGTAATCTTTTTGCTTGTGAAGGGGCTTGCCTTCAGTTTGTCAAAAATGCAACATCTATGAAGCACAACGAAATGAGGTGCAATAAAACAAGTTATGCCTGTACCAGTAATCCTAGGACAGTGTATGAACAGGTCACAGCTACTTTTGCACTCATCATAAATTAACGTAATATGAAATAGAATATTTTTAAAAGTTATGCTAACTTAATGTTTAGCCTTCAAAGTCTCATCTATTTGCCACTTAAGACTTTCTCCTTATCAAATAGTATAGGAAATGGAGAAGCCAGAGAACTTGTATGTACGACCCATGGACATGAACTAAGGGGGGCAATGCTAGAGGGAGGAAGGATTCGGGGCAGAGGGGAACAGAGGGCAGAAAAAAATGGGACAATTGTAATAGCATAATCAATAAAATATACTTAGAAAACTTTCTCCTTATCTCCCAATTAATCAAATGATAGTGACATTGTTAATATATTGTTTGTATGTTTCGAGTACTACATTAAAAAAAATTCAAAAAGGGAAATAGTGAAGTTAATTGATAAAACAAGGTTTCCGGGCAAACTGGAGGAAAGGATGTAGGTTGTAAGCATACTTATTCCCTTGGACAGAAGGAGAAACATCTTCCAGCTGAAAAGAAGATAAATTAATAAAGTCAGAGGTTAAGGGGAATATATGAACAAAGTTAATCCTTATCAGGCTCTATGTTCTCAGTAAAGCTGGAAGCAAAGACATGTGCCGAGGTGGAAGGGGGAGAACAGGAGGCTGGGGGAAAGCAGGGACTATGTGGGAAGTTCTCCGACAATGGGAGAGGTGCGGCTTGCCCGCCCAGCACCGGTGTGCAGTCGCCCTCAGCAGCACCAGACAGCACAGGGTCAGACAAATCCCATGGCTGTACAGTATGGCAAGGGGGCCACAGAATCCCTGGGTTAGGGAATGTGGGAAAGGGAGGAAAGAAAGGGCTGGCTGTTAGATTTTACAGAAAACAGCCCTCCAGGTCCAGAGACCAAGGTGAAGTCAGACCCCAGGTATAGCGGCTGGAATGAGTGAGGGTAGCAAATAGAATCTTTGGGATTGAACAGTGTGACAAACAGGCAGTGACTATTAAGTAGAGAGAGAGATTGTTTCACATCACATTCTTCTGCTTGTCCTGATCTAGCTCACTAAGCTTATTTTTATTAAATAATACCGTCTGTTTTACCATTGTAACTGTGTTACATAGTTCTATATCTATGATTTATGCTCTTATTATATTAACTGAAAGTACTGGTTAATGTTTTTCTTTATGCTTAGGTTTACCCCATAATTATCTGTATGTCACAATAAAAAAATTAGGTTAGTTTTCATCTATGTAGTCTTCTGTTTGCAATTAGACTGCCAGATATGGAGGACAATGAAATTACTTCCATTTCTGGGGTTTTTTTCCTGCTTGTTTTTAATTATTTCTCTGTTTAATAAATAGCTGCTTGAAACTGGGGAAATGAGCTACTTCAAAAAGTTACTATTATAACAGTCAGAACTTTTATATTTCAACATACAGTCCTATGTTAGTACTCACTTGTTGGGAACTGCCCTGGCTGGTTTCAAAACTGTAACTCCCCACAGCTAAGGCTGAGTAAAAGACCTTGGCACCATAAGCCATTAAGGACACAAAGCTTATCTTCTCGTCAGGGGCTCCGCCTCTGCACCCTTTCACTTTACCCTGCCTGGCCTCAGGCGGATGACTGGTTAGCCAATAATGGGTTAGATTCCTCAAAGGAGGGATGACCTAAGACAGGCACAGTCATGAATGGGCCCTCAGGGAAGGACTTGGGGGGCCACAGAACAAGGGGGTGATGGACCCTCGCCCCTTGGCTTTGACATAGCCTGAGTCCTCATTCTATCTGTGAGAAGTCTCCTGATCCCTTGGCTGCAGTACTTCCCCTGCCTGACTTAAGCCTGAAACAATGCCAGAGGGTGGTGCAGCCCTGTGCTGGAAAGGGCAGGTTTCCCAAGAGATGAGGCATAAGAAAGAAGCATGAAATCCTGTGAAACCTACTTTGCTAATACCCTCAATTTAAATGATAAGGGTCCAAGCATGAAATGAGTTTGTTTTCCCAAAGTTTTACGGCCCTTTAGCTATCTGACTCTTACTCAAAATAAGCCCTCATAGTTCTTTGAATGTTATTTATTGTTTGATCATTACTGCCTGACAATTATTGATGAACTTTACATATATACCCTGTATTCCTCAGCAAATTACACCCAATAAAAGCCCATTGAGGAACAGGTTCCTGGCTCTTCTCCTTCAAGAGACTGGCCACCTTTCCTCCCCAAGCAGATCATGTCTTGATAGACTTATTCTCATCTGTGGCAGCCTGTGGGTGAAGCCCCCGCCGACTCATCAGGCCCTATATTCATCACATTTTGACAAGGGAAAAAAAAACGTTTCGTCACTTGGCACTTACTAGAACATGTATGAGGTACACCACCACCCGGCAAGAGAAAATGCTTTATCACTTGTCACTTGTTCAGTACTCGTCAGTTTTGGCCCTTGTTAAAAGTTCCAGAATGAATTAACAATAACAATAAATACCAAGGTATCACTGAAATTCTTAATGTAAAGTCTTCAAAGTTTTCTATGCAATTCTTCACTTTCTTGCAATATATATATTCAATTACTCAGTATTTGGATTCATGTGCATCATATAGGCTCAGAATATTACATTAAAATTCCTATACATGAGAAGCTGAAAATTCTAAAGCTCTATTTCCCAGACTCCTCTGCAGCTAGGATATTATACAATTCCACCTTTACTGAGCAAACTAATAGTGAAAGTAAGCACTGGAAGTGGAGGCTATGCAACACTTCTTGTTACCAAGGTGCTAGAGGCATTTCATTCTTCTAGAGCAGCCACAATGGAATGTTTTAGTATCTGGTCCCTAGATTCATGAGCACTGTGCAAACTGATGCGGACACAGGAAGTGTTTTCTCTACAAAGGTCCCTGTTGGCTTATTTCTGACTAAGGAATGCTTGGTTTGCTATCTCTTTCAGAAATTCTGCAAACTATCCAAGGATCTGTGAGACCCTTTACTATTTAATATAGCAACTAGATTTTGTTTTCTGCAATCAAAAACCCTGACCAGTATGACTAATGTTTAATGCAGCATTACCATCTCTATTCTTTGTCATTCTCCTCCATCATTTTCTCCTTTTTTCATCATTTTTCTCTAGCTATCTGCATAATAAGAAAAAGGCTGGCCTTTATAAGATACTATAACCACATAATATCCTAATTTTCAGTAGTGAAATTACTGATTATAATCAGCTAACTTTCCTTCAGCTAACTTCTTCAAGTCTAAGTTTATTGTACTTCTACTGACAAGAGACATGCATTCCAACTTTAATTCTTGGTCATAAATTTATATAATAAAAAAAGAGTATGTACAGAACAAAGAGATGACTGGATATTTCATCTATATTCTAATTAAAATAATAATCTCAATAAATATTAAGTAAAAATGAGGAGTCCTAGATTAATATTTTTAAAAAATCTATCTGTGAGTCAGAGCTATAAAAACAAAAGGAGATAAGAAAGAGAACAATTCAGGAGAAGTCTGGACTGTGTTGGCAGTAAAGAGAGATGAGAGAGACCTGGGACCAGGCACTGAAGGACTTGGGTGCTAAAAAAAAAGCCAGGTCCATACATGTTCCTGTATTTCCTACATGTCTCAGGAATCAGCCTCTAACAGCAGAAAAGGATACAGAAATGGGGACCTGAGATATGAAAGGCAGGAATTAGGGACCAATATTGAGTGGGGAATAGAGAACCAGGATGTGCAAGGCAACTGAAAAGAACTTGGAAGGGAAGGACTCATATGAAGAGAAATGAAACATGTACAAAAGGGTACATTGGACACACTGCCAATGTAGCAATTCCATGGTCACCTGTAGTGATACATGGACAGATAGAGAGTAACTTTTACCAACTTATTTTACAAGGTTCATGAAGAGTCTTTGAAGCCAGGTGTCATAAAGGAGTCCATCCATACATTATACTATGCACATAGGTTTCTAAACTGCTCATCGAAATTCTAGGAGTTCTTTGGAAATGTCCCAAGAGGTAATTCCTTCTTCTCCTGCAACCAGAGGAGCTCAGGTTTTGTATGTGATTTATATCTTGGGCTCCCATAACTTGAGTAAGAGTTTGAAAAAACTCTTAAAATATTTTGAAAACAACCAATTTAAATACACTGCTCTTGCTGCATGAACTTAATGGCAGACAGGACTGCTTAAAGCTATCATCTAAGATATCTCTTGTTTTATCTAATCAACAACCCTTACAATATCCCCTTTGAACCCAGGTAATCAGAAAGAGGCAGGATGGCATAATGGTAAAAGCAGACTCTAGAGCCAGAGTGCTTGGTTTGAATCCCACACACTAATCCCTTCACAGCTCAATCAGTGTGGGCAAAATACTGTATCTACAAATGGAATAGTAGGATTGGCATGTGAAGAGCTGTTGTGAAGATTAAGTGAGTTAATGTATGTACAGTGCTTAGAGGGCCAGGCCCAAAATAATTGCTCTCTAACTATTAGCAACTAATCGCCAGATCTGCATATCTGATCCATGAGCAAAGTCTTAGTTTTTACTTTCAAGGTTATTCTGATTTTTTTTTTTAATTTGCAAAATAAATCCTCAAAACAAAGACAAGTCTTTTTCTCATTTTAGAATTCTACCTTCCGAGTTTTTGTCCTTCTCCACTAAAAGCCTTGAACCTCCATCTGGGTTTGATGTATTCTTGATCCTGATGGTCCTCCATATCCAAGTTCACTTGGCCACCATGAACCAGTCGCTGAAGCTCTGGCGGAATTTCTCTTAAAAAGAAGAAGGTTTTTAGTTAACTTTGGAAAAAATGAATCAAATTGTGAGCTACACTGGAACACCACACTTCTTTGTAACACAAAAATCTCTGTGATGATTGGTTAGATATTTATCTAACAAATAGTTCTGTAGATATTTCCTTCTTAAAGTTGCATCACATTTTTCCTTAGTGATTCTCACCAAGGGTTTTTTGTTGTTGTTGTTGTCCTGGTCATCTTGGAGTGGTTCTGACAAGCTGTGAGACAGCAGTTCTTACCTAAATAAACACTAGAAAATTCCTGTGAGGACATATAGTTAATGCAGATACTTCTTTCTAAACTCTCTGAAGGAAGTTTGCAAAATGACAGGGGTCTTTTTTATTATTGTATGACTCCTGAGAGCTGCTGTTCAGTCAGGGTGGGGACGAGAGAGGCTCTGGCATGGGGGAGTCGTCCTGCACAACGAAGACTTCTCAGGTTCCACTGGCCCACTGAATGCCCTGCCAGAGAGTCATATGATGCCAACACTATACCCAAGCCTAAAACCTAAGGCTTAGGCTCTGTCTTACCTATAAGCAAAAGCTCAAAAACTGTTTTTTTTTGGTACTGTATTAATATGCTTTGAAATTTCCATCTTCCATATAAGCTGAGAGAAGATTACAACTTGTTTTATTTAGAACTTGACCAAGTCCATGACTGTGATGCCGCTTATAGTAATGAAGTTGCCAGCTTCACATACCTTATTATTGTTTTTATGTCAATGTCACATTTATATGAGAAATGCTGCACATAGGTGCAAACTATCTGACTGCTTTGTTGTATCTTCTGGTGTGGTCATATCCAGGCACTTAGAAATGGAAATATGTATAGTTTTATGGTAAATTACTTTCTTTTATTCCCTGAATATTTTAAAGATATAATTTACATTATTATTATTTTTTAAAGATTTCATTTATTTATCTTTAGAGGGGAAGGGAAGGAGAAAGAGAGAGAAACAGCAATGTATGGTTGCCTCTCGTGCATCCCCTGTTGGGAACTGGCCTGCAACCCAGGCATGTGCTCTGACTGGGAATCAAACCAGCAACCCTTTGGTTCATAGGCCTGTGCTCAAGCCACTGAGCTACACCAGCCAGACAGATATTATTTTTGAGTTCTTATTTGATGATGATAAAGATGGTATTACAAAATATTTGTTGTAAAAGGGGGATAATGATTACACAGTAGATAATTATCTGACATCATTCACTGTTTTCAAGGAGTCTTTTTTAAAACTGTTTTTAATCATAATTTGCACTTGAGGACATGGTGTGGTTCAAATTAAAAAAAAATTAGTATACCATGATTGTGTGAACACTAGCCTACAAAGTTCAGAGATTATTTTCATTTAATACATTAGTTTTGATATACAGTATAGTACATTCATCATCAATATGTTTTCTTCCACCATCTTGAAATAAGCATCAATTTCAACAGTATTGTTGGTCTTCACTTAGCAGAGGAACACTTTGCCTACTCAGTCACTCTCAGCTCTTCCCAGTGATCCTGCAGGTTCCATGTCCACAGCATTGACTTAAAGTATTACGTCCTTGTATTTATCACTCACCATATACTCCCCCCAGGACAGCATCCCACCTTTCTCTATGACTTCAGCATATCACTAATAGCATCTTCTCTCCTGTGTTGTTTTTCGTTTTTGTCTTTGTATCCTGATAATTATCTTTGTAGAATTCAAGTTGACAATTCATGCTAATTAGTGTCCTAAAATATCTTTCCTTCAAAGTTCCTTCACTATCTCAACTCCAGTGAGTTTCATCTTCATTCCACTGAAGCCACTCTCCTCAGACATACTCCATCACTTGGATGGGCAGAGAAGCCCCTCCTTCAGTTCCTGGGTGGAGCATAACCTCCAACTCCAGTCCCTTCACTGCTACTTAAATCTCCCAGTTCCTCATCAATATCTCAGCAAAATATCTTATCCTTCAGAAAGAAGAGCTAGTGAGTTATGATGTTCTTTAGATGGGTCAGAGTACTTTATATCCAGTTTACTTTCATAAAGTAGAACTTCAAACTAACCTTTTGAAATCTTCTGCGAGGAGTAATGCCACTTTAAAAGATTTCTAATATAAGTTGCTGAATTTCAGGCATACATGCAATGAGAGTCACCCTGTCAACAGTAAGCAGGACAGTGGCTTAGTGGATGGGCAGCTACATGCCAGTCAATTCACCGATTTATTACATTGAGATGCTTCTTCTTAGAGTTGGGAGCATAGCTTCAACAGACTTTTAAAGGGACCAAAGTCTGACTGCCTCCCCACTCCCCAGAGTTAAAAGCCAGCAATATACCCTTTATCTACTTAAAAAGACCCTTCCCCAGGAACTACTCACATAATAGAACTCTTAACCAGTAGTGCCCTACTGAACAGCATTCTGCTAAAAAAAAAAAATCCACTCTAAGTAACAAATAGAACACAAACAATCAGGCTTACCCTCTCTTAACAGATTCCAGAAACTGAGCATTTGTTGGGTCGTTGTAAGGTCTCAGTTCTCCATCATCTAAACTGAACCCATTGCTCCACAATTTAAGCAAAACCTGAACCTTATGAGCAAAGGAAAAAAAAGATAAAGTAATTAAAAAAATCCATTGGCATCAAACAGTTTTAACTTTCAGATGTGATATTTCTCAATATATTAAATCATTAATTTAAAATATGGGGTTATTTGTACTATTCTTTATCCACAGTTAAAATACGGGCATAAATGAAATGATATGTGTCTGCTAAACCAATCTGTATTCAGCTTAACAAACGGACAATGGCCGAAAAACTGAGGATCCCACAGGTCTCATACCTGGACCCTGGCCTCGAAGTAAAAATATTTCTAGTTCATTGAGAAAACAAAAGCAGTAAGAGCACCTAGTTGCTACTCCACACCCACCCTCTTTCTGTGCCCAATTTTCTGGTACAGAGCTTACATATTCATTCCAAGAGGCAAGAGAGAATTTCTAGTGACACTCCAACACTAACCTACATGCTTAAAATGAAGTTATAACTATAAAATTTCAAAAGGTAGTAGAAATAATGACTTAAGGTGTTATTATATTTACAACTTAGCTCACTCTATATTATGACAGTACACCATTTATAGTAATTATGATATATATGTAAGCTCATTTTACAATGAATCATATATTATTTCGACAAATAGTTACATGTCTATTTTTGTAGGCACATTTGGGATACAAAAGATAAAATTTGAGACTGAAAACATACACATTAACATTTTAATCCATGTTTCACAAATTAAGAAAACAAAAAGATATTTATATAAACAATTTTTTAAAAGATTTTATTTATTTAGTTTAAGAGGGGAAGGAAATGAGAGAATATTAATGTATGGTTGCCTCTCATGGGTCCCCTGCTGGGAACCGGCCTGTAACCCAGGCATGTGCCCTGACTGGGAATCGAACTGCGATCCTCTGGTTTGCAGGCCTGTGCTCAATCACTGAGCTACACCAGCCAGGGTATTTAAACAATTTTTAATTTTAAAAACAGTAGTAACGAGAGGCCAATATCTATAATTTCTCATTTGGATCACTGTACCTACATCTTGCAGCTGGTTTTCCCCATAGATGTACTCAGACTGCTCACCAAAGGAATTACCCAATCTGTACCCTCCGCCTGTAAAAGACTAAAATACACAGCCAGTGAGCCAAAAATTCACTAAGGCTTATTAAGCAAAATCTTACAATAATGTGTGACATATATTTTAAAACTAGATAAAACTGTAATTAGTCAAACTGGTTTGTAATTTCTAGGAAAATGTTAAAATAAAATTAAAGTCTTATGTTACAGAGAAGTGTATTCAAGTAAAAAATTGTTTCTTTCCATAAAAACATTAGTCATTCAGAAGCAGAAATAACTTAAGCCAATCTGAAACTAAAAAATGCATATATACATTAAAATATAAAATTTCAAGTATAAACAGATTTTTAAAAGCCGTCACTAATATTTTATGAGAAGTCATAATAAAAACTATAATGTTTAAATCATATTTCACAAAGTGAGTGAGTCATAAAGAAAGGATTTTATAAGCGGGTATAAATCACCCCAAAGAAAAGCTGTCTACTTATTTTGTATGTTGCTTTTTATTCAACTTTAACAAGTCAACTATGACTGTGCTTTTCATTTTGCTACACTGACTACAAGGTCTTCTGTTTTTCAGGAAGGATAGCTTATGAGGTTAAAACCTCCATTCCCTTTAACCACCATTTATATCATAAATGAGCTTTTAATTATCAGATTGGTTTCTTTCCTCTAGACTAAATTGTATCAATTCCACATTTTTCTTACAGAATTACAGAACTTTCAAGAACCAAAATTACCTTAGATTTCACTACAAAAAGAACTTCAAACTATGGTAAGTAACAAAAACTAAAATGTGTTTTTCATTAAAAATAGTGTCTCTCAACAGCGATGTCTCCCAATGACACGCGTCCGCCCAAGCATATGGGAAAACGACTGGTCTGTAACATCTGAGATGATGGAGTTTAGAAAATCTCCCCAAACAATTTGACAGGGAAAATCAGGTGGAGAAATGTTAATTATGAAGACATACGATAATTAACACACAGAAATACATTAGTTTTCTTTAATATGCCAATACTGTGTCTACAGTTTTGCAGAAATTGAAGAAGGTACAGAAATAATCCAATGAAGGAAAAAGAGCCTTTTCAATAATGGTGGAGCAGCTTGGTCCTTCACTACGTCAAAATATGAACCTTGACTTAAACTTTATGTAAAATTAACTCAAAATGGGTCACAGGTTTCAATGAAAAATGTAAAACTATGAAATTTCTCTAGATAACACAGAAAATTTAGTGACCTAATGTTAGATAAGGAATTCTTAGAAAAGACACTAAAAGCATAACCCATTAAAAAAAAGATAAATTGGACTTTACCAAAACTTTTGCTCTATGAAAATACTGGTAAGAGAATGAAAAGACAAGCTATAGTCTAGGAGGAAATATATGCAAAAAATATATCTTCCAAAGAATCCACATCTATTAAAATAAATAACTCATTTTGTTTGTAACAAGACAATCTAATTTGAAAATGGGCCACAGTCATGACGAGACACTTTTATTATCCATGAAGGAAAATAAAGACAGTGGCAAATAAGCACATGAAGAGATATTCAAGATATAACTGTTAGGAAAATACAAATAACATTAGCCACTAGGGTAAAGGGGGAAATGTGTAAATGGTACACAGGACCTTTCTGTGTACATTTTATAAATTCCCATTAGCCTATAATTATTTCAAAATAAAAACATAAGTAGAGGATTTATATAAAAATGTAAGAAACTGCCTCAACTTTCAATCATGAATAGAAAGATTATATAATTATATGAAAAGGAATCAAACATTTAAAAGAGAAATATATAGTTAGGAAAAAATAATGTTCCATAATATAGTAAACTTATAGAGGACATCAAAAATATAAATAGCATACTTAGTTTTAAAATTGAGCATTACCTTAGATTTGTCATCACCTGAAGCTCTTGTGGCTTCATTCAGAGGGACAGCCCCATGTTCCCTTGCCTCTTTGAAAAGTTCATTCACAATTTTCCCAGTTGAAGGTCGAGCTATATGTAACCCACTGTATTCATGCTCACTTGAATAGAACCTTTAAATATCACAGTTCATGAATAAAAACTTAGCATACAGACAGACATAAACTACTTTAAAGTAAAAAGCTATACAGTCTTAGAACAAAACTTTTTAAAAGGAAAAATGTATATGCCTTTTGTGGATATATTTAATTTTAAATGTCGGATTAAAGAATTAAATAGTGAACAGTTCATATGGTTTCTCATGGGGTTTGTGGGGACTCCTGTAGCAAGCTCAGCATGTGGCGTGAGAACCTGCTTGCTCTTCCTCCCTCACGCTGGGCAACGGTTATCAAATGCACGTTTGGTGTGTGGGGCTAAGCCTCTTCCCTGAGGAATCCACACTCAGCACAGACTTAGTGAAGGGACCTCTAGATTCAGACAGCGTGAACACTTAACTCTAGACTACAAGGGCTACACGTAGAAGGCTTACTCAATTTTTTGGATTGAAAAATTATAACCGCCTGTGTTAAAGGTAAATAATTTAGACCACAAACAAGTTTTTTTTAGTGTATAAACTAATATGTTGAAACTGATTTCTACTCTCACTCCAACTTCAGAACGTAAGAATTTCCTTTACGTTAGTATCCTATTTTATCTTTTTAAGATTTTTTTCAATCAAGAATAACAGAAAATACAACCCATGAAATATCAATACAAGCAATGAGACACTTCTAGTATAAGATGTCAATCAGAGCTCATGTTTTTATTACCTACCCATTCCCTCCAAACCAGTTTCAAATTTGCACTGAACCAATTCACAAAACAAAAGGAGAAAAATTAAATCAGCACTGGAGACTAAGAATAGAAGTCACCTCTCCAAAATTAGTATGTGCAAAACTGAACAGAAAGAGGGAAGGGCAAACCAGCTCTCAATTCACTACAAGTGAAGAAAAAAAGTCCACCTGGAGAACAAGTGGACACCAGCAAGCAGAATCTACTACAGAAGCTAACAGGAGGCTGGCTCACAACAGCTGAGGGCGGGGCTGGGAGTGGAGGTGGGGTTGTGTCTGTCCTGCTAGAGCTCTGGTGAATACACTGGGGCCCCTGGTCACCCAGAGCCAATGGAGGCCTTCCTGCCAAGCCTATACTCAGAGAGTCCATATGCTGCCACAGCTGGCTCTCTTTTCTCTTCTCTTTATTTTTAAACTTTATTTTTCAATTGCTATTTATATTCGGTATTATTTTGTATTAGTTTCAAGTGTACCGCACAGTGGTTAGACAGTTTGTATACTCTACAGAGGGACCCTCCAATATTTCAAGTACCCACCTGGCACCATACACAGCTGGCTCTTAAGACAAGTGTTAGTATTGGGAGCTGGACAGCAGATGATTTTAGGTAGCTAAGAGAAAGGAAGAGAAAGGGAAAGAAAATAATAAAGAAAGGAAGGGGAAGGAGAGAAAAGAAAGAGAAGAGGAAAGAAAACAGAAAAGAGAGGAAAAGCAAGGCTTCTGGATACAGCCATCTCCTGTTGCAGGTCCTTCGCTCCCTACCCCGCATCTCTCATCTGGGAAGCACAAGTACTGTATGTAGTTCCTTTTTATCACGGTCTCGGTGAGAAAGACTTTACTGGAGAATCAGATGTTGGAAAAAGACTTACTAGCTCCTTTACGGTTAGTGGTTTTTACTACCTGTTTAAGAAACCTTTGCCTACCTCAAAGTCATGAAGACACTAAGTTTTGTTTTCCTTTTATATTTGGATCCACAATCCAGCCATCTTTCCTCTTTTGAAATTAAGTAGGACTGTGTCCTTGACCCTTGTTCTGTTTAAACTCATCTGATCATCAAATATGTCCACTCCCATAAATAACAGCATCCTCTATAAAGATGACTCTCAAATATGTTTTCAGTACCCTCTTACTTATGGTACAGTGATGAATTTAAAAGACCCCTACTTGAATCAAGTTCATTTCTCCCAAAATGAACTTATGTTTCCCACATAAATCTTCCCATTAACAACCACGTTTTTCCTGTATCTCAGAATAAGAACCTTTAAAGACTTCTGTCTTTACCCTTCACTTATTCCCTATATCCCATGTCATCTAGTTTCAACAACTTTTGAAGATATCCTGTATGGATTTCAGCCTTTCTCCTCCATTCTACTGACTCCACCCTAATCCAAAACTTTACATTCCTTAGATTGCCACAGTTGTTTTCCTCGTGATTTGTCTCCTTATCCTGCTCTCCCATTACTATTAATTTTCTATTGTATTTCCTTAAAAGTATATAATAATAGCTAACATTTGTCAAGGTAGTTTGTGTTCCTTTACTCCTCAGTAATGATATTCTTCCCATTTTACGAATAAGGAAACTGAAGCTTAAGGAATTTAAAACACTTTTTCATTGGCAAAACATGGAAAAAACTGTAACTGACAGTACCAGTGAAGCATGAAACCAGCCTGGTCCCTTCTTGGCTCGGGCTGTGTGCCAGCACCCACCACACGTCCAGAGGCGTGCCCAATACACTCCGCCCGCCCCACTCATTTGCCACTAGTGTGTTAAAGTCTTGCTGGGTCCTTTTTCCTTTGTGCCTATGTGTTGTTGGAATTTCGTCTTGTCTTCTGTGCTAATCAATATCCTAATAATTTTTAAGACTCAACTATGTACCGACACTGTGCTAAACAACTTAGACACTTTATCTAATTTAATTCTCAAACCAATACTATAATCTACTTACTTGTAGGGGACATTTTTTTAAGTTCTCACATTTTTTAAGAAGGATATTCAAATTATCTTTAAAGTTCTACTTGTGATATATAATCTTTTGTGGATAAATGTGTTACAATAGGTGTCAGGATATATTCTGAAAGTGTTTCTGTCAATTCTGTTCTTCCTCTTGTAAACATAAACCATATTGTGTCTAGAGCTTCAGACAGTAAAAATATATTAGCTTAAATGACAGTAAGCAGACACAAGTCTTGATATCTAATACTGTCTAAAAATGTAGAATATGGAAATGAGCACTATTTTCTGTACTAAACAAAGCAGTAGGCATATAATGAAACTGAGGAAATACCAATATTGAATATGAACTCACAAGAACTGTTTACTTAGTATTAAAAATATCATACTTAGCAAAAAAGAAAATATTGCTAATAATGTGTTTCACATTGCACTTTAAACAGGTTAAACATAGTTTAAGCACCAACCAAATATCAATTAAGGCAACTCCTGCATTTGGATATATAAATAATTCTAGAGATCAAATCTGACGCATGCTGTCCTTAAAAACTGCATTATCAAATTACAACGACTAATGACAACATTCTTTCAGATAGCCTATCTAAACATATGTAGCACATAAGAGAAAAGAACATTCATTAGAATGTCTTAATGATTATATATGAACAGCAAAGAAAATATTAACATACTAATCTTATAAGTCAAATATTTTATTATATAGTGAATGAATTAAGTCATTAGAAATATACCCACATTGGAAACACAATGGGCAAATAGTTAAAGAATAAAACTTTTGTACATAAATATTTTAAGTATTTTCAAAACTTTGGAGAATGTATAAACTAAGGAAGCAGTTAAAATATATAATATAGGTATTATACACACATATATATGTATGTATGTATGTACACACATACATGTCAAATAAGAATGAAATGAAAGGCAGGATATTCAAACAGTGCCAAGATACCAACCTACATATTACAAAGGGAAAGCTGTACCTTACAATGGAGTGATGTGGTGGTCAGCACCCTAACCAAATGAACATATCAGCAATAGTGGGAAAACCTGAAATTATATGGCTCCTGATATGATATAATAAATACCAGACAATATGACTTACTACTATTCTGGACAAATAGGTTTAACAAGAATCTAATCATGAGAAAACAGTAACTTTGAATGCAGAACATTATATAATACATCTGGCCTAGACTCTTCAAAAAAGTCAATGTATTGGGTTGGCCAAAAGGTCCATATAGTTTTTTCTATAAAATAAAAGACGCATTTTTCATTTTTACCAACAATTTTATTGATTTGGATATTTTGAGTATGTCCGCTGCCTCCTGCTATTGGCGTCTAGTGGGTAGAGGCCAGGGTGCTGCTAAACATCTTCCAATGCATAAGACAGCCCCACAGCAAAGAATTATTTGGCCAAAATGTCAGTAGTACCAAGTATCTTCGCAAACCAATTTTGACACATTTGATCAGTCACAGCACCTACTCCATATCCTGCACAAATCTTTTTTGTGTTTCAGTTGTTTTTGGCCTTTCTTAAAATAATAAAACATAATATGCTGAAAATGTTGCATATTTCTTCCATCTTCAATACTAAAATGGCTGCACAAAAATTCACCAATTTTAATGTTTTTTAAAAAATGCTGTCACAATACATAAAATCTAACAAAATTGTTTTGAATGAAATTAGACAGCTGTTACTGGAGCCACTGTACAGAAAAGACTACGTGAACTTTTTGGCCAATCCAAATTTTAGATTATACAGATGAGCTTATAGAAAACCAAAATGCTGGGGAGGATGTCCGATTCAGATTCAAAGCAAGCATAATCAATGGACTGCCTGGCCCTTGGCTCTAAGAGATGTCTGACTACGGGTTGTTAAGTGATTTAATGAAATTACTGTTCATTGCCGAAGGTGTGACATGCGATCCAGGTTATAAAGGAGTGTGCGCTTCTCATAGGAGGATGCCCACTGAGGTGTGTAGGGACGAAGTGTAACGCCAGCTGCAATTTACTCTCAAACACTTGAGTAAGAGAATGCTTGCGTGAGTGTACTGCCGCCACATGTTGACCATCCATGAAGTACACAGAGCATGTGGCTCATGGTACAATGTTTTGATTATCTATGGGTTTGAAAATGTGTAAAACAAAAAGTTGGGGAGAATTTTTTAAATGTTACTCTTTCTTCTCATTCAGGTCCAGAAAGATGTGTCATTTTTAGCTGCCGTACAGAAAGAAATGATGCAGAGTAGCAACAAAAACAATAACAACAAACGAAAGGAAAAGAAGAAACAATTTTCAGTGAATTTTTTAGCTTTTGGTAAAATGACAGATTTTCTGACACTGAGACATAATGGGGGAATTCAAGTGCCTCCCCAGTGATGATATTTGCGGTACTAAAAAGATGGTAATAAAGTTTCCTAGAAAGAAGAAAATTTGTGGCAATAAGAAAACTCTCATCTCATTATGAGAAGATGTCTCATGCCCTGGCTGGTGTAGCTCAGTGGATTGAGCACGGGCCTGCGAACCAGACAATCGCGGTTCGATTCCCAGTCAGGGCACATGCCAGGGTTGCAGGCAGGTTCCCTGCAGGCCAGTTCCCAGCAGGGGACGCACGAAAGGCAACCATACATCGATGTTTCTCTCCCTCTCTCCTTCCCTTCCCCTCTAAAGATAAATAAATAAAATCTTTAAAAAAAAATAAGAAAAAAAAAAGAAGATGTCTCATAATGGGACATCATTATGAGGTGTCTTAATGAGAATCTCATTAAGACTCTTACCTCCTAAATCTTCCTGGTTGGTTCTTTTGATAGTTCAGAGACTTTAACAATAGTAAACACTGCCTAGGAGATCACTTATTAGATGGATAGTCATCCAAGGGAAGCAAAGACAGATTCCTGAAGTTATAGATTCTTAAATGGAGGACAATACACACATAAGGGACTCAATGGATGGGCTTTAAAATTTTTTTTTTAATTTACTGACTTTAAGGAGAGAGAACAGGAGAAGAGACAGCTAGAAAGAAAAGAAACACCAATTTGTTGTTCCACTTATTTATGCATTCATTGGTTGATTTTTTTATGTGCCCTGACTGGGGATTGAACCTGCGACTTTGGTGTCTCGGGACAATGCTCTAACCAACTGAGCTACCCAGCCAGGGCTGGATGGTCTGTAAGAAACACAGAAACCCTTAAAAGCAATGGACAAAATTGTCCATAAATGTTTTGAGAGGAGAGGAGCTTCAGTAGATCTTCAATGAGTCCTGTGTCTCAACAAAGAATCACATCATTCTATGTTATATGTATTTAAGATTATGTTTCCATAAGTTTCTTCCAGCTTTCTGACTATTACAGTTTTAGAAATAGCACTAAGTAACATTTATTTTTACAAACTACAGATTTTTAAAAAATGTCCAAGGCCATTTAAAGTAATTTAGGATTAGTAACTAAAAAGGGATACAATTATTATTATTTTTTAAATTACTGTATTTTTTCCATTACCATTTAATCTCCTTATATACCCTACCAACCCCGTGATCACCATACTACCCATATTCATGAGTTCTTTTTTTCTTTTTGCTCGATCCAGAAAAAACTTACCTTTGAGGTGGGGTTCGTGGGCTTTTAAAGATTGAAGCTTTAGGTCTATCAGATTTGGAAGATTTGCGTTTCGCTTCATCCTCACACAGTTCTGCCAAGGCCAACTATAAAATAACAGATTCATTATTCAGTGTAACAACAGAAATAAAGTCTTCTACACAACGAGAAATTATGAGTTGAACACTAACTTGTAACTGCACAGTAAAGGCTTCTAATGAAACATGAAGGCTGCTGCATCAGACGATGACTCCCTTTCAAAAGAAAACCATCGCATCTCTCATTTTATAAAACAAAATGCCACATTTATCAGGATAGATTAAAGTTACAATGATTATTTAATTGTTTTCAAATAATTATTTCGACAGTTTCAAAAACCATGTTTAGTAACAGATCATTTTTAAAGTTGAACCTACAATTCTGCAATTCTTTCAAAACTGCTTGAAGATGTTTCAAAACTTGCTCTCATTAGATCTCAACAATTATTTCATTTAGCTGTTCAAGTTTTCAAAACCCAAACACATAAAACAATTTTAAAATTATTGTATTTGAAAGTCTACCAGACACATGAAGGGGACCCAAAAATAACTGGAATTATCTTCTAGAGGGAGGGTCCGTTGTAGTACAAGCTTCTCCCACTAGCAGAGTGTTCTAGAAACCCATGTGTATCAGTGTACCAGCTGGCAATTCTGGGAGGCTGATTTCAGCTTCGGTGAATTTTTTTTTGAATTCTCAATGTGTCTGCCAATTTCACAGTGGGTGATTTACCACTGCACCTGCCCACACCTCACTGAGTGTTCAGTAGTTTTGACCAAAAAAATGACATAACCCCCATGCCCCACCCTCTCTATTCACCTGACCTTGCCCCAGGGATTCTTTTTTTGTTTCCCCAGATGAAAAAAGTCCTAAAAGGGAATGAGTTTTGCTGACGTGGTGGGGGTGAAACAACAAATGGCAGAAGCACTAAAAGGCATTTTCTCCACAGGTATATTACATCAAATGATGTGCATTTTTGAAGGTGATTAACGTTTAAACATGTAAGAATATATACACAATTTTTATAAATAAAGTCCATTTTGGGGGGCTCCTCCCTCGTAAGTTTCAAAAAGTTTAGGAAAATGAGCTACTGAAAAATGAAAGACAATGAATTACATATACAGTTTGTATAACTTTTAGAAATACTACCAAATTATGCATTATAGATATGCGAGTGGCTATCTTCAAAACTAAATAAACAAATTCTTGAAATTGGAATCTAAAAAGTTATCCAAATATTTCAATATTAAGTTACTTTGTTCCCACTTTTGATATCTTTGGACAACAGCTCAAAAACTTTCCTTAATGCCCCTGGCTATTCAACTGTAACTGGCATGGCCTTGGGAAAACAAAAACAAAAAAACCAAAAACCAAGATAAAGTGATCCTTCTAGAAACGTAAGAGATAAGAAAACTACCTCAAGAGTTTCTTTGCTCACAAGGAAAAGAGAAATAGGGAATTGGGTCAAAGTTAACTCTTGTGAAGAAAATTCTACTAATCAACTTTTAAAATACACACGCAACAAAACCAAAATAAAAGGCTTTATTTTTCCTCCCTAAAATTTTACCCTCACCTGCCCACATACACTTCAACTTTCATATTTTTAACATAGCAATTTGCAACACATCCTACTCACAGAAATGCTTTGCAATCTAGATGAACTAATTAGGTTCTAACCTAGGCTCTTACTGTGACTTTGGGTAATTTTCTTAACTTCTCTCTGAGTACTGCTTCCCTCACTTTTAAATATCTATTAAAAAATTGCCTTAGAGGATTGTTTTATGAAGTACATGGTGGATGCGAAACACAAGTCTTCCTTTACCAGAAGATATTATTTAAATATGTTTAATAATGATTACATCATTATTTTCATTATATAAAAATGTTTTGTGCTCCCCAAGATCTCTTTTCTTTCTGCAGTGTTGTCTATATACCTGCTGTGGCTTTTTCTACCTTCACCCTTAAAAACAGCAACAAGAACGGGAGAGTGCGGGAGACAGGGACAGAACCAGGGGCAGACACTCCGACAACTTGGGCCCAAACTTTCTGGAAACTTTACCTCCCTGAAATCTCTTCAAAAACAGTATTTCTTTATGAATTTCCTCCTGAGCTGATTATATTATTCTGGCCCTATGAACTACTTTTATAGCACCCCTTCTCCCATCAATGGAAAGGTTATCCGTGTTTCACAGGCTCATTTCACCCACCCTTCACAGAGCCTTTCCTAATTTTTCTCAACTAAAGATATTTCTTTTCTAAATGCTCATGGCATATGCCAGCTTATTACTGATATTTATATTAAATGTTATATTGCTATCACTTGTATAATTTTCTTACTATTTTATTTCCCCAGCTATATTTTAGGCTTTCTAAATTGTAGCTAATTTAGTATTTAATTGGCATCCAACAAATTCATGTTGAATTATGTAGACTATGAACACAACATAAATCATAAGAGATAGAAATAAAGTTACAGATTTTTAAATTAAGTATTTACTAGTCTTGTATCTTGTTAGGTTTTTGCTTTAAAAGGATCTGAATAAATCCTGTCAATCAAATAATTTCTTCTATGAGGTAAATAAAATAACCATTGCCTTTTGACACCATGGAATGTGGAATATATATTAACAAAATAGGAACATGAAGAAAATTATATAAGAGCAGGGAGTCCACCTTGCTGAAAGGTCCTAGTTAGTAATGGTACCTCATTAACTTAGAAGAAAATGAATGATATTCAGAGGGAATCAATGCCACGCCTCATGATGTCCCTGTCACGTAATATGGCATAAATTCATTAGCAAATATTTGAAGAAACTTAATTTATATTATTTGATATAACAAATGATATCGCATCATTTGTGATAATTATCAGAGGAATAATTATTTAAAATGATCAAAATAAAGTGAAGTTCTAGTCAAAACCAAGAGAACAACAACAAAATCTCAGTCAAATAAGGAGATACAACATATGTATTGTGACATAATGATGTATTGTGAATTATCAGGGTGGACTGCTCCACAAGTGAAACAATTTGATTACGAAGGTATTTCAAATATGCAGAGAGAATAAAGTATGTAAGCATTGATAATCTTCTTTTTGGAATTTGCAATGTGAAGATCATAAAAAGAAACCGGAAAGCAAGGTTACTGAAAATGAGAAAAGTATATAACAAAAGATTAAAAGTACCGGAATTGTCGGTCTTAGAGTAACAAAGACCAGAAGGTATAATATAGATATTTTTTATGTAGAGTAACATTGGCATCACCTAGCAACCTTGAAAATGCAGATGCCCAAGCCCACCCTAGATCTAAATAAACTCCGGGGTGGGGCCCAGCAATTGAGTTTTAACAAGCCTTCCTTCCAGGTGATTCTGGTGCCCACTAAAATTAAGATTCAATGATACAGAATACTGAGATCAAATAGGATTAGGATACTTGTGGCAGCTGTAACAATGTATCAGACAATCTTATTCTTTTCTTATTTACAGAACTTCCCCTTTGTCCCACCCAAAGTAGAATCCTAACCCTAAAGTTATCCCAAATTCCCTTCAACTCCAATGTATATGGAAATGCAGAATTAAGAACAGAAAGCCTTTTTTTTTTATATTATTCTGCAAAAACTGGGACAGAAGCATGTGTAATCTGGTATTTTAAGCTACAGTTAAATCCACATGTGTGGCTTGACTGAGGGGCACCAGAAGTTACAAAGGTCTCTGAAAATGTTCAAAAATAAAGAATGCTGAGGTTTTTACGGTTAGTAGTTACTAACGAACCTGCCCCAAACTTTCCCCCAGAATGTTTCCAAATTTGGGAAGATGAAAGGAGCAGATAACTACTCTCAGTTTGATACCCATAGGAGATTGCTGTGGTTTTTAAGTGGGAGGCCACAGTGCTGGGAGGTTTTCTGGGAAACAAGTATTCATCCTTCTCCTTGTGGGAAACCTCTCCCAAATTTGGGTCGAGAAACCCTGCACCATGTGGCAGCCAAGAGATATGTACTGAGGGGTACATTTGCTTCTTCTATTAGTAAAACATCACCCTTTTCCTCTATAATACTGTGACAGACTCTTAAAGCAAGCTGTCAGGAAATCAAAAAAGTATCTTCAGAAAACTGGCGAATGAGGTAGCTCTTAAGATAAGCATGGTTAGATTAAAATATAAGATAATCCAAACATAATTAATAACCAAGAAACCAGTCAGGGAAAAGAACATTATCCAATTCTTTTAAACCTCTGATACATACTCTATTTCTTCACATGTCATCACTTGTTGTTTTCAGGTTTCTTTGCAATTTCTTCACATTCTTACTAAATTGTAAAAGGAAACATTATCAATACATAGTGTATTTAATATACCAACTCGCATTCATTAAAGAGAAAAAAAACTCCCCTGCCACGTCCTCTTCCAACCATGTTGTCTAACAAGGTCCGGGCATGGAGGACTCGAGTTCAAGGAATTCATCTCCCCAGAGGAGAACATGGCATCCAAAATGGGTTAACAATGGCTGTTTTATTTTAATTATTTTACTCTTGCTACTAAATATAGACATTGTACTGTACTTACTTATTCCTGTGAAAATCACCCAAGAGGAAGGGGCAGTTCAGGGGAACACATTAGTATTCCCCACGGAACTGCCTGAAAGGATGGAAAAATCCCCAGAGATTCCCCTCTCCCTTATACAGGGGGGTACAACAGCCAGGGTAATATAATTGTTAACCATAAGAGAAAACATGTCAAGTTGTATAAATTACCCTGGTTTGAGAACTTAAAGCGATCAGGACCGCCATGGTACACCAGAAATAAGAAAAACAAGTTAGATCTCTTAAATAAATAGTTAAGGCCAGTTAATAAAGAACCAGGTTATTGTTTCAAACACAGGTTGTGCTGCCAACAGTTGAGGGAATGAAAGAACAGATTAGAAAGACTTTCCCACGCCTGTTCCTTACCCACAGATACAAAGGGTCTTCCAAAAAGACAAGTAAAAACTATATAGACCCCTACCCACAGCCCAGGGATACGGTCGGGACGGTTGAGATGCATCTGCAAGGCAGAGGCAACTGTGGCTGGATTTCCTGTCTATCTCTCCTTACATGTTTGTTTGGGTGATCAAAAGGTGGTGGGATTGTTAGACACTTGTATGTCAGGTTCATTGATTAGCATAATTCCAATGAAGTTGTACAAAATAATTTCTTGACCAGAGAACAAAGTCCCTGTATGTCTAAAAGTTATTGGAGTAACAGCCCCTTCTTTACCTTGAATAGGAATATATATCAATTAGACAGGCAAAGAAATAAGAAACGCTGGTTAGCAATTACAAACTAAACAAATAGAAACAATTACCAGGGAGTCAGAGTCCATAGTACATAGAGAAACATTTTAGACAGAAAAAATAGATAGCTAAGTTAGACATCATAAACGCCTTATAATGAATTTCCTATTATCCTTTTGCCCCATGACAAATTCTGAGAAACTTTAATAAACATTAAGACATTCAAACTCTGTATATACAGCTACTTCTAATTGTCTGATTTCTGGCTCTCCTGGTCAAAACAATCTTTGTTTAATACAACTGAATCTATGGGAACTTTCTTACTCTCCCTGGTTACCTTTGTATTGATTTTTTCTGCTTAATTGATCATGCTATACTGCAAATATTAATCGCTACCTAAAATGAAAATATAAAAACCTGCTTGTACTTGCAATAAACGGAACAGAGCTTCACTGTCCTTTGAGGCGTGTTGTCGTCTGTTACCCACTGCCAACGCCTTACCCACCTTTCAGGAATCCCTGGACCCTGCTGCGGCTGGACCGCGGCACTCCCCAAACCTCATCTTCTAATTGATGGTGGAAACAAAGGCATTCTCACAATTAGTGGCATCACCAGTATACCTCTGATCATTAATCACATATTAATCCACTGGATTGTTGGTAAATTTGCCAAGAATCAGGTGATCAACAATCAAGCTGTTCTCAATGATCACATAAAAAGAAATGGACTTAAATTAGAGAAGGGATATTAAGTTACATAGTTTTAACTTTAATGACATTAGAATGGACTAACCAGTGAAAAGTTGTAATTTTTCTTCTTTAAGGGAAAAGGAATCAAATATTTATCAAGCAAGTACTGGGCCAGGATAATATGGGAGTTCTGCACAGGCATTTTACAGATGTCATTTCACCCATGACACCAACGTCATCACCACTAGTTTATAAAGAAAACACTGAGGATGACAGAGGTTAAGACATTTCTCCTATGTTCACACAACTAGGAAGTGGGAGGACCCAGGAAACTCCATTCCCGCCCAGCATCCCACGTTGCCTCTCGGCGATGGTGGTCTACAATACAAAAGTGAAGGTGGATGATGGCTTCCTGGTGCTTGATTTTCTTTACTACTCCTGGATTGACTTATGGGCACTGGACCTGTTCTACACTGATCTTCCCATTCTCCAAATCCCTCATTTTATGCTCTGTTTATTTTGGGCACTCAATCATATGCCATCTTAAATGCTATGTTAAATATATCCATATCCTATATCTGCAATAACAAAAAATAGGCGGAAATGTCTTTTTCACATTCTATCCTTTCCAGCAGTGTCCAGACCCAACTGTGGGTTTGACGCCCTATGTATCTCAGCACCCCCAGAGCTCAGCAGTGTGCCGCAGGGCGGGTGCTCGGACTGTTGGTTCCGAGACGTAGAGAAAGAAGGTGTGGCCATAACGTTAACAGAATTTTCTCTACCAAGACTGTGGAATCAGTGTCACTTATGTTTAAATATATAGCTCCTATACATAGTCACTTGTTGAATTTTATTAATGACCTTAGAAGGAGACAGAAAGCAAGCCTAAAATGAGCCAAGTAGTGTTAAGCATCTGCTAAGGCCAAAGTCGGTGCATTCATATTTAGTAATGTCAGTGTCCTATAACATCACAAAGTTTTATTTCCTTGAGTTTTAGCTGCAATGTTTCATAGACTGTAGCTTTTACAACTAGGCTGTGCAGCTGTAGGATGAAATACTCAAGTTCACTCCTTTCAAAGGGAAAAGCTACCTGACTTAAAAAAAACCCACATTTTTATATACAAGAAATCGAGACAGAAACACCATCCAAGACAAAGATCAAACCGGCACACCTGTTACTACTTTTTAAAGTGATCGCTCATTTCCCCACGGCCACCGTAAAGCTTTCCTCCTCAGCTGGTCTCCTGAAGCATCGACCTGTGAGCCACTGAAACGATGCCACAAAACGGCACTCAAAACGAACAACCGGTTCTTAAATTGCCAACGGACACTTGTTTCCAGAAACAACACTACAATACGCTCCGCCAATTCTGTCCCCAGATCGGATCTGAGGAAGGCTCGGCCGAGGCCAGAGACAGCCTCGCACAGGCCCCCGCCCGCATCTGCCGCCAAGCCCACGTCCTCCGGAGCTCACCGCACCTGCAAGTCCCGCGCGCTCGGGGGCCGGGGCCCCGAGGACCTGTCGCGCTCGCCCGGCCCTGCCTCCCCGCCTTCCGCCATCTTTGACCCGCTCGACGGTGTCCGCAGCCGCAACTTCCGGGACCGGTTGCTAGGCAACTGCGGGAGGCGGTCCCCCGCGCGCCCCCGCTTCCTCCTGCTTGTGTCCGCCCCTTTTTTCCGGCGCCAGCCCACCGGGGCTAAACCCTTTTTTCCTTTCTTAAGGGGAATTAATTGGCTCAGAGAATCTCTCCACACAGAAGTCTCTACGTGCGTCTCTTGATTCCACTGTGGCACGTATGAAAGTGCTGTAGTCCGGCCTAGGGGGCAACGTAGACTTGCAGGTTCTTTTAACAATGGGAACGTCCTTTGCATGTCTATCTGAGCAGTATTGCTGCCTTACTTTTCTAGTTCAGTTCTCTGGTGTTTCCTACCAAGGATTGGGTGGCCCCAAAGCGCGATTGGTGTTGAGAATAAAGAACATCGTAAAAAGCTCTTTGCGATCAGAACTAGAGATTGCTAAATCCTCCGCATTGATCTGAGGTTGATACAATCAGAACTAAAGACTACTAAAATCTTCACTGATCTGAGGTTTATTTAAACTCGTGTCTTATCCAAGGCACTTTATGCCCCCTAGATGCAAAGGTTAAAAAGCTGTCCTGCTAGCCCTGGTTTGTGTGGCTCGGGGAATTGAGTGCCAGCCTGTGGGCCAGGGGATTGACGGTTCGAATCCCCATCAGCAGGGCACATGCCCGGATTGCAGGCCAGGTCCCCAACAAGGGGCACATAAAAGGCAACCGCACGTTGATGTTTCTCTCCCTCTCTTTCTCCCTCCCTTCCCCTCTTCCCCTCTCTAGGATAAGTAGCCCCACTCAATATAAATATAGAAACTCACCATATCATCAAACTCACCATCTCGTGGGGAGGGACGTGAACAGATAATAAAATGCAATTTGCCATAGAGCTTTGCAGGAAATGTGGGGTTTAAAGGGAAGTATTCTTTTGGTGCTTACTATGTGCACCAGGCTGGCTAGGTGCATTCTGTGTGTAATCTCATTCATCGGCCCGGATAAGTATTAGTATTGTTATTACCATGTTATACTTGAGGAAACCAGATGATGACTAAATTTCAACCCGCTGTAAATGGTGGTACCAGATAGTAAAACTTGCATTTCTTGTCCCAGTATTCTTTTTAATACACATAATACAACATTCTGCCCTATCTGGATCTTTTTTATGTCCCATAGAGCTAATGATATTTTGGCTGAAACTTAAAGGATAAATACTTCTAGTAGGCTGTGGACCAAAATGCACCACAGGAAAAAGCATAGGTTTGAAATATAATGTGTGGTAATAAACAACTACGTGGTTGAAGCTTAGGAGAAATGATAAAAGATGGTTCGTGGATGGGGTGTGTGGATCCAGGTTGCAGAGTAGGCTAGACAGATTGAGGGATGTTGCCTTAGTGAAGAAATTAAGCGTTACCTCTGGGCCAGTGATTCTCAAATGTTGCTGGACATTAGAACATACATCCCTCCCCCCTTACCCGATGTACTCAGATTTAATTAGTATGTGGTGGAATTCAAGCATTATATTATTTAAAATGCTCTCCAGAGGGAAGGGAACTTAAGGGGAAAAAGGGGGAGGGATTTTGAGGAACAAGTATGAAAGACACAGAGATGAGGACTGGGGGGGGGATGGGAGGGAGGGGGGAGACCGGGTGGGGGGGTGGGGTGGGATGGGAGAAATAGATAAAAAAAAATGTACTTGAAAAGTAACTAAATAAAATAAAATAAATAAAAAAAATGCTCTCCAAGTAGACTTTGGTTCTGGCAAAGGTAGTGTACCTGAAACTGAACTTGCCATCCCACTCTCCCGAAATAATAAAATAGGAAACATCTGTTTTGGGACATTTGAGTAATAGGCAGTACAGGTCTGTGATTTTCCAGGGAAGGGAAACAAGCAGGATGGGCCATATTTGCTGTGGCTTTCTGCCTGGAACTCTCCCACAATGCAGTGGGAATGAAGAATGGCATTGCTACATTGGAAAATAGTTAGACAGTGTCTTCTAAAGTTAAATATTCAGGTGTCATAAGATCCAGTATTTCCACTCTTGAGTACAAACCCAAGAAAAATGAAAATATATATTTACAAAAATATTTGTGCCCAAATGTTCATAGAAGCTTTACTCATAATAGCCCCAAACTAGAAATAACCAATCACTAAACAATAGGTAACGTTTTGATAAATTCACACAATGGAATACTACTCAACAGAAAAAGGAAGAAATCATACACCATGGATGAATCTCAAAGACATTATTTTGAGTAAAAGAAGCCACATGCAAAAGGGTAAATATTTTCTGATTCAATTTATATGAAATTCTAGTATAGGTGAGACTAAACTTTACTGCCAGAAAGCTGGTAGTTGTGTGAAACAAAAAAACTTCCTGGCCAAGAGCTTTTCTAAAAAAATAATAATAATAATAATAAAGTTTTATTGTGCCCCATGCTAGCCAGGAAAAGGACCAGGTACTGGGGCATGAGGTCTGAACCCCCACCAAAGGCCAGCTGGGAAAGCCAAGCATGTCCGCAGTCCTGTGCCCGTCAGGGTTTTCTTGTAGAGTGAGTTTGCGGAAGAAAGATGTAAGTCCTTTTGAAAGAATTCACATTGGTTGTAGATAATGCAGTTGGGAAAAGGAGAAGTGGAGACAGTTCTGGGATAGGTGCGTAGGCCTTAAGGAAGAACTATTTGCTACTTTTGGATTGCCTGTGGGCAACAGTCTGGAAAGTTCACGCACAAGCAAGAGGTGGTAGCCTCTAATGTTTAACTATTCCCTCTAGATAATAGCTAAAATAGCCAGCTGAAAGTTGCCTCAGAGTTTCAGCTTACACTAGGAATGTAAACAGTCTTTTGTTTCTGCCCACAAAGGTTAACTGGTTAACCTCCCTGTCTCTCTTCCCCATTCTCAGGCCTGCTGTCATTAAATTAAGAACGCGACAGAATTTTTCTCTTATCAGTTGCTTGACATTGTTTCTTTGGAGAAGAATAAGCTTGGGAAGTTTGATCTAAAAAGGGACATAGGGAGCCTCTTGAGATGATGGAAATCTTTGATATCTTGATTGTGGTGACAATCACACAGGTATATACATTAGTTAAAACCACAGGGAGCTATTTACTTAAAATGAATGCACTTTATTATGTGTAAACTATACATTTATAAAGTTGATTGAAAAAACCTAGGCAATTCTGCCATGGTTGAGAAACACCCATCTAACGCAATTGAGAGCTGTTAATGGATTTTTAATTTAGAAAGATCATAGATGCATCACTGTTGATTCAGTCAGATTTAGAAAATTCAAAGGTTATTACAACAGTGAGGCATGATTAGGACCTAAGTTTTATCAGTGGCAGTGACTATAGAGAGAAGCAATATTTAGTAGAACTATTAAGGTCAGACTTAAAGGTGCTAGTGTCTGACGTGTGGGAAATGTATGAAAGAAGGAAGAATAAAGAATGACATCGGGGGTTTTGGTTAGATAAGTTCATTAATGGTACAACCTGCAAATTACTGAGTTGAAAGAGAAAAATAAACTTCAAAAGGACAAACTATGTTATGACCAGTTTGAATTTGAAATTTATGTGAGATCTAGGGTAAAAATACACCATGGTGCAATTGTAAATTGGGGTGTAGATATGAGAAGGCTAGGAGAAAATTTTGGATTGGGGATAGAGATTTGGTGCTGCCTGTGTAGAACCGATAGCAGAGTAGGTGAGGCTTCCAGGGGCGGTGAGGTGGGGGAGAGGACGTGAGGACTGAGAATGCTCAGACATGTCGACAGTGAAGGGCTCAGGGGAGAAAGGACGTGTGAAATAGACTTAAGGGATACTCAGAGGTAAGATGAAGGGAAGAAACTGAAAAGCATTCGTGACGGGAAGCATTCTTCACTGAAGAGACCAGTAGTATCATTTCTTACAGATAATCAAGTAAGATCAGGACTGAAAAGTATCCACTGGGTTAAGGAAAGAGGAGGTTGCTGTTGCAAAGGTCACTCCTCATTTCACACAGAGGAAAATCTATATTTTAGTGCTTCAGAGTGACAGGACTGTAAAGACTATGTTCTTAATCTGCTAAAGTCAACGGTGTACAGGAAGTGGCTTTTGCCGGCTCATGAGAGCCTATTGTTAAATTTTCAGGAATTTTATAGGCAGTTGTTAAACACAGCGATTATTAAACATTAAATGATATAAACTTACAATAAAATCACACTAAAAACAAATGTAACAAATACTCAAAAATCATTTCCTGATCATTTAAATGCTTTTTATGATTGTCTATGCTCTTGAGGCTATTTGTGTCTATTGCATCTACCTGTTTGTTACTCCAGGTGCCATATGACGGCATGCTACTGCACACCTGTTTGTTACTCCACATTCAGCGACAGTGTTGGCAGTGTGAAACTCACTGTGGTGGAAATACGTACGCCTCCACAATTGGTAAAAACCACAGGTAACAATTGGTCTATAGTTTTGTTGATTGTGTACTTTAGATCTAAGAATGTGGTGGGGAAAATGTTTATAATGCAGTTAAAACTTAAGAGTGTGCTGTGTCTATAGCTATTATAAAGTGAATAGCAAAAAAAAAAAAAAAGGGGGGGATGGGGGGAGACATTTTCTTCCAGTATTGAAAATTATTAGCCAATTGAAGAGAGAAGCTGCTCATGTCACATCATTGAGTTACTGCATATGTTGGTATTATTTCACTTACTTCTTGTTAATGTGAATAAAAATATCAGCCAGCATTCACATGGTCCCTTTAAACTCCCCTTTCTCTTAGCTTGTGATGAAAGTTGTGGTATCTTTCCCCTTTCTTCTCCAAAGAAGTCTGGTCACAAGTACCTCATTCTCTCTATTTTATATTCTCAAAGTTGTTGAGGGGTTCAAGAACCATGGAATTTATTCTGCATGGATTATCTTCCGGGAGCTTCTGTCTCATAGTTGCTTTGACGTATAATGTGTATTGTTCTCTGGGATGCTTAAACTAGACACTTAATTTTAATGCCTTGCTATACTTC